TCTTCTATTGTTGAATTCTGTTTGTCGGTTCATTTGATGTGCCGACATTGCTTGTACCTCGTAATGATTTTCATTTTTGTACATTGTTGTTGTTGGTGTATCATTATGTACTACGTCATCGTAATCAGTTCTTTGACGTTGTTTATTTCGTTGATAGAGTATTTCTTCAATTTTTTGAGCTTCTAAAATAATCTCGTCTAGTGATTCACATCGAGATATACCGATCATTGTTAATAAATTGTTTCTCATCTTGCACATCAGGTGTCGAATGAGATCACTTTCTGTTTCATTCGGCTTTTGTTCTTGCCAGAGGGCCCGAAATCGAACAATAAATTCATTGATTGTTTCATTTTCTTCTTGTTTACAGCTCTTCCACTGCTGCTCTTGATGTGCTCGTCGAATTGGTGAATTGAATTGGTTGAGAAAGATTACCTTGAATTCCGTCCAAGTTTGTGGACGTCGATTTGAAATACCTAATTGACAGTACCATTCAAGGGCTGTGTTTCGAAGGAATTGTGAGATGCCCTTAAGTAAATGTTGATCATTCCAATGGTTTATTGTTTCTGCATATTCTTTGACTCGAATAAGAAATTGACGAGGATTCTCCATGATACTTCCACTAAATGTTGGTATTGACGATGATGGTGGGATAATAATTGTTGTTGTTGTTTGATGCTGTCGATCAGGTTGGTCATTATTAAATGATTCGTCCATTGTCGATGAATTTCGTTGTGTATGAGGTGTCAGGGTGTTTTCTTCTATTAATTGGTTGAGATTACTTTTTTCTAATGTTTTCGTTGTAATAGCTTCACAAATTTTTTGTATTTCCATTTTCATGTCTCGAAGGTTGCTTGTCAGCTGTTCCAGTTCTTGATGCTTTTGTTCTAACTTTGATACTGTCACATTTTGCCATTCTTGTGTTTGTGATTGAACAGCTTCTATCTGTTTGGTCATCTTTTCCTGTAGGTTAAGGATTTCCTGCGGTAAACTCGTAGTATTTTTGCCTTGATCAATCAAATTGTCATGTATTTCGGTCAGCTTTGTTTCCAGACTATTCAATCGTGCACTATTGTTGCTGTTTACTTCAGATAACTTTTGAACTGCTTGTTCAACTGTTACTTTTTCAGATGCCATGATTGATATTATTATTATTATTTATTGTTTCACCACGTTTTCTTCGATCAAAAGATTTAGGTTCAGTTTGACAGGGTCGCCATGTACCGATAAAACATGATATCGTGTATTCAACTGACTTTATTTCAA